CACCTGAGTAAGTGAGGAAGGAAATCCTTCCCCAGTGAGATTTGAGATAACTACAGCAGTGGTTCTCAACCTTGGTTGCACATTAGAATCACCTGGGAATCTTTTAAAAATCCTGATTTCTGGGCCTCATCCTCTGGAAATTCTGTTTCTTTGTTATGGGGTGGGGCCACAACATTAGTAACAAAGAAACAATTTCCAGAGGATGAGGCCCAGAAATCAGGATTGTAAAAAGATTCCCAGGTGATTCTAATATGCAGCCAAGGTTGAGAACCACTGAACTATACCCTTGTGGGAGACCCAGAGCCAGAGACTCCACATTAGCCCTACCTGGAGAAACCATGAGATAATAAATGTATATGTTGTCTTAAGCTGCTAAATTTGTGGGTAATTTGTTTTACCCCAATAGATTACCAATACATTATGCGACCAGACTGGCCATGGTTTGTTGACTTTGAGGCCAGTGAAAAGTGTATGGGGGCTCATTTCTTATTCTTTCTACTTTTGTATATGTTTGAAATTCACCTTAATAAAGAACACTTAAGCAATCAGTGAAATTTGGTGGTAAGAATTCACTGCTTTTCTTGTCTTCTGCCATTTAATCGCAGTACAGTTATTTTCCATATGGCTAAGGTTAGTCTGTTTCTTCCATCTTGGTATGTTTTCTACTCTGATTTGTCTACTGGGCTCTCTAAGACAGTAAATATTTATTGAGCATCTGCTAACGAAGACGTGGTCTAATGCACCAAAAAAAAAAAGAAAACAATTAAGAGAAAAGACTCTTCTTGAATTAATTTTATAATCAATTTGGGAAATGGAAACAGGATAAATGAATATAAACTGAAGTGATGATTAAAAGAATCTATAATAATAAAAGCATAATATGCTAATTAGACCAGACAGCTGAATGACCTTCTGGACGTCATTCAGGAAGTCCTTCTAGACAAAGTTAAGGTGGCAGAGGCTGAGGCAGAGGCAGTTAGAGACAATCAGGCAGGCAGGCAAGTAGTTAGGGGTGATTAGGCAGGCAGATAGAGTGGTTAGGGGTGAACAGGCAGGCAGGCAAATGGTTAGGGTGATCAGGCAGGCAGGTGAGTGGTTAGGGGCAATCAGGCAGGCAGGCAAATGGTTAGGGTGATCAGGCAGGCAGGTGAGTGGTTAGGGGCAATCAGGCAGGCAGGCAAATGGTTAGGGTGATCAGGCAGGCAGGCAAGTGGTTAGGGGCAATCAGGCAGGCAGGCAGAGGGGTTAGGGGTGATCAGGTAGGCAAGGCAAGTGGTAGAAGCCAGTGGTCCTGGATTTCGAGAGGGATGTCCGACTGCTGGTTTAGGCCTGATCCTGGGACATCCCCTGAGGGGTCCCGGATTGTGAGAGGGTACAGGCTAGGCTGAGGGACCCTCCCCCACCATGCACAAATTTTGTGCACTGGGCCTCTAGTATATAAATAAAAAGTGGGGAGGTGCTATGGAGTTAGACTAAGGAAACACAGATAAGGACAAATTTGTTAGTTCAATTTCTAGGCTATGGTTTAATTGGTGTCTCTGTTTTTGTTTTGTTTTGTTTTGTTCTGTTTTGTTCAATCTGCCTTAATTTTTACTATTTCACTGGTTTTTTAAACTTCTATTGGCAGGGCAGTAGAGAAAACATGTAATTCAGTAGTCAGATATTACCCCTTGTCAACACACGTAGAAAATACTAGAGATGATGGGAACAAATACCAAAAAATAAATATTGAGTTAATTAACGCAAATTAAATATTGAGTGGGGACTTGAATTCCTACCTAGCATGCAGCTTGCAGATGCATTATAGGTCTAAGTTTATAAGGTCACATCTCGATAAAATTTAACAAGTGTTTTAGAAGAGATATAAAATGTTTTTTTTTTTTATCAAACCCACATGTAATTTTCTTATCTTCTTTTGACAGGGATAATTTTAAATGAGCTATTTGCCACTTTGTTCTCATAAAACGATTATAGGATGTGACTCACTGAGGCCTAAATTATGTGAAAATGCTAGAAAGACATCTGCTGAGCATCAGCAATTAAGGGCCAGTAACATGGCATCCATGGGAGCAGGTTTCCTTCCCTTGCGATCTAGTCCACATGTGGAGAAACTGTGTATAAGTAGTTCAATGTACAAGTTCTGGATGGAATCACCTGGATTTAAACCTGAACTCTGTTACTTACTCAGGGTACAAACTTGGGCTGTGTGTTACAGGGATCCAGTGAAATAGCACATGTAAGTGACTTAGCACAGTGAGGCACCATAACTGTCCCTCATTATTATTATCACCAAAACCAACAGATCAGAGACTCTTGGCTACCCAAACCCATACTCTTAGGATGTATGAATGTGAATTATGGTCTAGAGTACAATAAACCTCCCACTCCTCTTCACTTAATATTTTCATGTGAATACTGGGGAGGTAAAGTTAGGAGGATAAGTTTATACACATAATTTGCTTTATTATGATACTGCAACGGAATATACTTTTAAGATCCTAGTACTGGCCTAACTCGGTGATTCTCAAGCTGGGGGCAGTTTTTGCCCCCTAGTGGGTCCTAGGGGACATTTGACAATTTGGGACATCTGAAGACATTTTTGATTGTCCCAACTGGGAAGGTGCTACTGTCGTCTTGTGGATAGAAATCAGGGATGCTGCTAAACATCCTACAATGCACAGGCCAGCCCTCAACCACAAAGAATTATCCAAATCAAGATGTCAGTATAACTGAGGTTAAGAAATTCTGTCCGAGATTTCTCCTTTTAACTGGCCTTTAACGGTTTGGAGCAAGCATCTAACAACAGCTAAGACTGCTTTGAAGCTCTTTTGCTTTCAGCCAATGGAACTGCTTGTGATTCTTTAATCACAATGGCCAAGACTTCGGAAGGCCTCTTCCTGATGCTGTTAGCTAAAACAGACTTTACTTTTTGAAAAGAAAGAGGAAAAGAATAGTTATAACCTTGAATAAACAAAAATCTCATATTGTTCCTCATTATTGTGACCTGGAAAAACAAATACATATATTGTATACGTTATAAATATATGACATATAAAGATAATGCACCATTTTGTACCTTCCTCTACCAAGAGTTTGTGACCCAACTGACCCAACCCCACTGCATGTTAAGGGTGAGTAGAAGAGGGTAGAATTGAGCACCACTTACATTTCTTCAGTAGCTCAGATCTCCCAACCAACCCTCCTCTCCACTTCAGTCAAAACACTTCTAACAGGCTCTGTGAATATTTCTCCACTAAAAACCAACAATAGACCCCCCACTGCCATCAGCTAACACACCATTTCACACCACCTCTTATTATTTGAAGAGGTTGAAACCAGAAGTCATATTTTTCCACACTGAAAATATTTGAATGGGCTGTCAAAAAGCCTCTCAGAAATGTGCCCCATCCAACAGCAACAAACCCTGTGCAAACAAATCAAGTGGTGCAGAAATCCTTTGCACAAGATGATAGGGGAGGCCTCCATGCTGACACTGTAGGCAAGCCAAGTTTTCATGTACTTGGATGGCTGACCTCCAACTTCTGACATATTCATTATATTCCAGCATGTCGGCTGCAGATTGCATTGAAGTGATGACAGCTACAAGACAGCCAACGAGGAATATGGCCATTCTGGCAACAGGTGGCCTTTCCCTTGTACTGGGAAAGTTAATCTAGTTTATCATCAAAGTATATTATGTTCAAGGAGTGTCATGTTTTGAGAGTTCTAGTGACAGATCAAATAGAGAAAGCATTCTTCCGTGGAACATGACATTTTGGGGAGACCAATCCTTTCAAACCCTTCATTGTTTATGCCTGATTCAGATCAGTTAAGTTACTCTATTGTCTCAAGGTTTACCTTACAGGTTCCAAATTATGGTTTGTGTCCCCTGTCAAAGGCTAATAGAGCACAATCTCACCTTAAATTATCAATTGCCTCTACTGTAAGGAAATTTTAATGACCTTAATTTGTCAGCAGAAAAATATACTGAAGAAAAGGCCAGCAGCAAAAGTATATTCATATCCAATGCAAATTGACCATCACATTTCCAGATGAATTTTCAAATTATAGATGTTCAAAACCAGCTCTGCCTACCCCCATTCAAAATATAATTTTTAAAAATAATCAGTAACATAATGTTCTACCCACGGCTCATAATGGAGAAACAATGGCCCCTGGAGGGTACTAGCTTCTCTTTGGGTTTAACCTTGGATTTTGGCAGGAAATCCCTCTCCAACCTCTCTCCCATTCCCACTAAAGCCTGAGATAAATGATGCTACATGGTAATATTTATTCAGTCATCCACTCCATGGCTGCCTTCCAAGTTGGATGATTATGTTTTGCTGCACTTTGGACCTCATTTGAAGAACTCTTAATACTTCTAAAACATAGGGAGGCAATCAAACTGCTCATTTGCCTTGTGGAAAATAATTTTGATTTGCTTGAAAGTCTTATAGCCTATTTGGCTCATTCTTTATAAAAAGTCTTAATATGGGAGAAATAGAGTAATACTATTTATATTTATTTCATTCTATGTGAACTCCTTTTTGCCCAGGAACAGTTCAAAACATTTAATCTCTAAAAGCAAATTAATGTTTCTAATCCACAAATACTTTCCTGCATTTAAAAGGATAGCAATGGCCCCATAAGCATACATAGAAAAAGTTACCTATTCATAATGCTTACCTCCTAATCTTGGTCTCTTTTGAAGAACTAAGAGCGAGGCATCAGCTGGCTCATCTCAGATGTTGATGATTCTAGAGCAGTCGTGGGCAAACTACGGCCCGCAGGCCGGATCCGGCCCGTTTGAAATGAATAAAACTAAAAAAAAAAATAAGACCGTACCCTTTTATGTAATGATGTTTACTTTGAATTTATATTAGTTCACACAAACACTCCATCCATGCTTTTGTTCCGGCCCTCCGGTCCAGTTCAAGAACCCATTGTGGCCCTCGAGTCAAAAAGTTTGCCCACCCCTGTTCTAGAGCATTAACCTTCCATCCTAGAAATCTGGCCAGTGCTTCCTTGGATATTGGTCAAATTGAGTACTTTCAGGCCAACAGTCTCATATCATGTAGTTCTTCTAGCCACTGAACACTTCAGAGAAAAAGAAAGATTGACACATGTACATTAGAGTGACATGATTTAGTTCTGTTCTATGAGTACTCCATCCACCAATTACTTAAAACACGAATTCACTATTTTGTTTTATCTTACTTAAACAATCACTTACATAGCACTTAGGATGTATTAGACATTGTTCTCAGTACTTTTCATATATATCCAGATATTTAATCCTCATAAAAATACCATGGGGTAGATACTATTATTATACAGATGTGGCAAAAGTAGGTTTATAATTGTTCATATGGAATATAATACAATAATTAATAAGTAATAATACAAGACTAAACTCTGTGTTTCACATACTCACAACTATAAACCTACTCTTGCCCCACCCTGTATCCTTTTTATTGATGAGAAAACTGAGGCAAAAGAGGATAAGTGACTTTCCATGGACACTTAGCTTTGCTCCAGAGTCCATGATATTAACCACAATGTTATGCTATCTCCACCAACAGCCTAAGAACAATACTAATAGTACCTAAAATTTAATGAGCCACTACGAATGACATCTTTAATCCTTACCACAACCCACGGAGGGAGAAGATATGATTTTCACCCCCACTATGCACATAAGGAAATTGAGGATTAGGGAGGTTCAATCACTTACCTAAACTCTCACAGCTAGCAAGTGGAACTTGGGCTGGAGATTTTGGAGGTAAAGAGGTGAAACAGAAAACAGTTCTGTGTCTTAAGTTTCTAATCATTTATGAAAGAAAATGTTCATTGGTCTGGAAGCAATTGGGGACATTTTAGAAATGTGATCTTTACTCTCCCTAGAAATGGAAAGTGAAGCTGATATTCTGATGTGCTGACCTTCCTGGGACATTATAAGTCCTATTTCTAAAGGACTTGGAGATTTAGTTGTTACTCCACTAGGTTAATCAGACCCTAAATCTTTTAAAATACCCAAAGCTAATTCACTTATGAAAGGGAAGTAAAAAGAAAAAAATGAATCATTTCACAAAGGTAAAATTGCATTGCCTTTAAGAATCTCAGCATTATATTGCTTATTTTTTTAAAAAAATTATAATTAGAAATGTAAAACATTGACTTAGAAAATATACTGATATCAGGAAGTAAAACATACTAGCAAATGTCATTGTTTTATCAGGTAGAATACAAGGCTTTCATAAAAAAATGTAATACAAATAAATAATCAGAATAAAATATTAAGGTTAAAATCCCCACAAATACTGGAATATTGTATAACCACTTAAAATTGTGTTTAAAAAGATTATTATGGGCTTGAGATCATATTTATTTATGTTAAACAACAAAGTAGCATAAAGTTCGTATACAAAGTATAAATCCAATTCTTTTTTAAAACCCTATTCTTTTAGTCATTTATATGCATATAAATTTCAGGTGGTAAGTGCACCAAAATGTTAACAAAGGATAGTCCTAAATTGTAGGATTAAAAGTGGTATTTATAGTCTTATTTATACTCTTTATATTTTTTAAAATTTTTACAACTCAGCATATAGTATTACTTTTATAATCAGGAATAAAATAACAGCAATTAGAAAACCATGGGCTAATGTCCCACTCAGGTATCTATCCTGAGCATTTTGCTTCCACAGCCCAGGTCTGAAGGTCTGAAGACAGGTTCTCAAACTAAACTGAAACCTAGCTGGAGGGCTATTCAACTGAGGAAAGGCATGATATACAGGAATCATAAAAAAAAATCATTGTCAAAAGAGCCAGAGAAACAAATAAGTCGGTCGATGGATGTGACAAGATCCTGGGTGAGAGCACAATGGTACCCTCCCCGTGGGATATGTGGAACAAAGTCCACGGTCTGGAAGATCAGAGCCAAAGAGGAGAGCTGGAGCAGAAGAGGATTAAATTCAGAAAGAGGACCAGCCATAGCCAGAAGCTACAGACCTTTACTTTTGTGACTTAAGTAGCTTAAGGAAGGCATGCAAGGCTGGACTCAAATCAAAAAGACAGATAAGCTCCTCCGCGCCCCCTGCCCTCCACCTTTCCTTGGGCTGGTAAGTTGCTTTGTGGTTTGATGGTCATTTGTTTGTTTGGTACCCACTGCCTCCATACTGCTGTCATTTAAAGTAGTAATTCCTAGTGGGGCTCCTATATGTGGGGATTTCTAGATACTTATTTATACATTTATATATGCAGCACATTTAGGCAATTTAAAGGATGATGTAAAGCTACCAGTATTTTTAAACATTCTGTGAATCATGATAACTTCACACTATCAATAGGTAATCCCTTTGTTGTGGGTATAAATTCACATGTGAAAAGGCCTTCCTGGTAATTTCCAAGCATTAGGTCCAATAAATTAGATGACTAGATTGTTATTGTTTTATCTTTTAAATGGATAAATATGCACTCATATTAAGGGTGGGTTAAATGTCAGCTCTGCTGTTGGGGTCCAACCCCAGCAGGTCCAGGGGTCCCCAAAGGTGTGGACGGAGTCGGCGAAGAAGGAATGACACAGAGACAGCCTTCAGTTGATCAGCAGCCTAG